TTGTAAGGCTGCCTAAAATGTAAAAAAAACCAAAAAAAAAAAAAAAAAAAAAAAAAAAGAACAACCATAGACAAGAACTGAAACTGTGCCAGAAAAACCGAAAAGTAGAGGGAAATCATGGTGGTTCCAGTAGATGAAACTGATAATGACATCCAGAAAGTAAGTAGAGACTTTCCTAGGAGGGTCATGCAAGCAGTCCTAACAAGTAGTCCTGAGGTTTTAGAACCATGAGATTCCAGAAAAGTTTTGTTTTCTAGTCAAATCTATTACATCAGTCAGGTCCAAAAGTGGCCAAGAAACAACCAGGAATTCTCACGGTTTCATAAATCCATAATTTTCTGTTACTGACACTGAATTCCACCATTTCAAGAAATTCAGCTAAGAAAGCCACCTTGTGGAACCAAAGGAATATTCTGTTTTCCTGCTATACACAACAAACAAGATATTCTTAAATCACTATGATACAAGCTTTTTGGCAGAACTGAAAGCTGACAGGCAAGTCTAGTTAGAAAACTAAGTAAGCAACTTGAGCTGAAACATGAGTCCATACATTTTCTAAAGCTAAGTCACGTAAAGATTTCTACCATAAAAAACCACTTTGTTAGAATGATGGAAACTGTTCTCCCATCACTGTAATGAAGTGATTTCAATCCTATCCACACCGGAGATATGGCATGAAGGAGTCTCAGCAGTGTTTGCAACAATAAAGTTATATTCTATTTCTGTGTTACTGAAATATCTGCATCTTCTACTCAGCAGGGCAAACAAATGGACAAGTACTCAGATAACCACATAGAAAGAGTGATAGGCCAGAACTACAAAACCTGATTTCCCCCTAAATCTAAAACAGGGTCACATTTTCCCATGTCTGCACAGTCCATTTCACTAAGGTAAATCTGCTTAAGCGACAACATCAGTAACTTTCATAAGTGTAAAGGAAATGTCCTAGGAAAAGGACTGGTCATTTAAAAATTAATCAGGAAGTAATCCAAAAGAAACATGCAATTAAAGCAACACTGTGCTTTTGTCTCTGCTAAGCTTTTCTCCAAAATGCCTACTATATGCTTATACAACCTCCTCCAGATTCTATTCTGCCTCCTGGGAAAGAAATACTGGATGGTGAAGGAAATACCCATCCTTCTGAGAAGTAAAAGACTATGGAGAAACAGCACAGACAATGATGAAATCTGAAGTGAAACAGTGTAGAAGTATTTTTTCATTTTCATACCAAGCAGGTATTTCAACAATTTGAAAGAAAATCCTTGTTTCCTCACTCAGGTGTCAGTACTATGTGCCCATCCAGCCCACCAGTTCTACTGAGGGTGGAGTAAGAAGCATTACTTACCGACCGTGACTGCTGTGCTTGGAAAGGAACAAACTGTCCTGGAGGAGGTAAGTGAGGAGGGTGGTGTGTAGAGATATGAGGAGGATGCAAAAGAAATGGGTCACTAGAAATGAGGGGTGGAAATGCTGCATATGGTACAGGTAGGTGCTGGACTGAGCACGCCTGAAGCATCTGAAATAAAATGAAAACAATACATTTTTGGAGTGTACACATTCCCTATACAGTGTTCTATATTCTATGCATTTGTTATGGAAAGACATAATTGCAACAGAACAGTTATTTAGCCTTGCTGAAAAAGCCTCCAAAATGCACATAAATAATAACACATTCAAATACCCAAGGAACAGTGATTACTACAGAACAGGCTCTAGGAAGTAGCAGTGTGACATCTGCCATGAGCTGCTCATGAGGTCACCAGAAGTCTAGATCTTCAATACTCCAGGATTAGACAGGCTCCTAAGTTATGAGCAGACACCGTTATCCTAGTTAATTTTATTTTTCCTCCATATCATCATCAAAACAACATGCCAAAGCAATGGTCTTGCAACCACCTTAAGCTCCAGATGCAGGTGAGGGACTCAACTGTCACATAGTGCCTAAAGACCTCTGCTGCCTCATTATACCATGAATAATTCCTACAGTCTGCTCCATTTTGCACTTTTGGGTGAGTTCTACACTCTAAAATTAGCTCCTTAGTGACAGATACTACAGGAAATAGCTCTTTTTCTCACCTTCTTTAAATTCCTGACACAAGAGCAACTTTAGGCACTTATGTTTGAACACTAAAATGATGCAGGCACTGCAGGGGAACGGCAATGTGCTTTGTGGCATCATTGTTCAGTTTTACTTCCACCTTTATATATGGAGGAGCAAGGAACTTGCATTCTCTTTTTTGTTGCACTTTGATCCATTATGAGAGCATCAGACATTTGTTTTACACTTTTAACAATTACAAGACCATTTAATTAAGATATTAATACCCAATCTTGAAAAGAAAGACCACCCAGTTTTGAGCTCTCACTTTTTTTTCTTATTGGTAATGTCACACAGCATACATTTATATATTGATTATAATAGCATAAAATAATAAAAGGAATTAATTTTAAATTATTATTTCTGTAGTGGAGGAAACTATCATCTCAATTTGCTATGATCATGACCAAATATAAAACTCCAAATACACCAAAACACTAGTAGATTAATTTGATCCAGCTCCTATTTTTAATTTAAATGCTGACTGGTTCTTTTCCCTCAGTTACTACATAATTTTTTTCTAAAAAAACGAAACAAAAAATCATTAACAGTGTTTCTATGGTTATAATAAGTTTTTATTTTATTTTACTAGATTGAAAACTGTCCTCTGAAATAGCTGAAGATAAATTTGCAGGTAGAACACCTCACAGTCTTTTTCAGAACATGAGATTCTTTGGGAAACACTGAAATAGGATTCTGCATGGTAAAGATTACCATAGCTGCTATATGTTTGGAAATGTTTGACTTGTGCTATGCCTATGTCACTTTTTAAAGTTAGGGCAAATGAGCCCACACTAACTTCCAAGCAGAAAAAAAATTAAAATTACATGTTTATTCATTCAAGCTTTTAAAAAGTTCTTCAGTTTGGAGATATCATAGAATGACCTGGGTTGGAAGGCACCCTAAAGATCATTTTGTTCCAAACCCTCTGCCATGGGCAGGGACACCTTTTACTAGACCAGGTTACTCAGAGCTTCATCCCAACCTGGCCTTGAACACTTTCAAGGATGTGGCATCCATAACTTTTCTGGGCAACCTGTTCCAGTGCCTCACCACCCTCATAGTAAAGAATTCTTTTTCCTAATATATAATTTAAACCAACTAATTTTCTGTTCAAAGACATTCCCCATCTTCTTCTGTCACTACATGCCCTTACCAAAACTCTCTGTCCAACATTCTTGTAGGCTCCTTTCAAGTACTGGTGTTAGGGTTCCCCAAGGCCTTCTCTTTTCCAGGCTGAAAAACCAAATTATCTCAGCCTTTCTTAATATGACAGGTGCTCTATTCCTCTGATCATCTTGGTGTCCCTCCTTTGGACTCACTCCTGCAGTTCCATGTCCTTCCTGTGCTGAAGACCCCAGAGCTGGATGCAGGGTTCTAGGTGGCTTTCACCAGAGCAGAGCAGAGGGGCAGAATCCCCTCCCTCCCCTGCTGCCCACGCTGCTCTGGATGCAGCCCAGGACACGTTTGGCTCTCTGGGCTGGGAGTGCCCATGGCTGGGTCATGTCCAGCCTCTCACCCAGCAGCACCCCCAAGGCCTTCTCACAGGGCTGCTCTCCACCTGTTCAGCCCCAGCCTGTGTTGGTACGACCCAGATGCAGCACTTTGTGTTTGGTCTTGTTAAATCATGTGAGATTTCACATGGACCCCTTTCTCAAGCTTGTCTATGTCCCCCAGATGCCATCTTGTCCTTTGAAGAACTTTTAAAACTGATGAAAGTATTTAATAAATGGCATTTATTTACTTCATATTTACACATGCAGTGAGAGAGACAAATATTGTGAAAATAACAAAAGGCATTTGGGAAGTTCACAGATGAAACTGGTGAACAAAGTGACATGCTGGAGTACATGGGCTACCTTGAGATGTATTTTTAGAGGCTGGAGAAATTGGCTGACAGGAACTATGAAAAGTTCAAAGGCAAATGTGAAGTCTGGCACTGGAAAAGAGTAACTGAATGGATCAGGACACTCTGAGACTAATTGGCTGCAATCAGATTTTCAGAAAAAAGTGGGGCTGTGGTGGACATATACACAATACCCATAAATGTACTCAGTCAAAAAGGGCTATGGCATGTTGGGCTGCATGGCTAAGAAAGTAACTGGTGAAGCCAGTGAAGTGATTCTGCCCTTCCATTCAGAAACTGTGACATTAATCTCAAGTCCTGGGCCCAGTTTTCAGCCTCCAGTGCCAAACAGAGACAATGACAACATGATGACCAGGTCTTGACGAAAGTCACAATGACCAGTGACTTGGAGAAAACTGCATAAAAGAGGTGGCAGAATTAGACTTTTTCTTCTTTAAAAAGAGAAAACTAAGCAAAAACCTTATCCTTATGTCTAAGTATTTCTGAGAGTGGACACGAAGACTCCAAGTCCTCCTCAAGAAGCAAAATAAAAGAGCACAATGGAACCAAGATACTACAAAGAAAACTCAAGTAGAAATTCTTCATCGCAAGGACAGTCAAACACTGCAGCAGAAGCTTAGAGGAGTTCTGAAATCTCCATACTTGGAAGTTGGTACTGCAGCTGACAATCTCCAGAAGCCCCGCTTAACTTAAAACTATTCCTCAATTTTATGCTTTAACAGGAGAAAGCATGAAGTCTCCCTGTTAAGGCTACGGAAACTGAACTGTTTATATTCAACTGTACTGGATCTACTCTCTCAACACACTTGATTTAACTGCTGAACATTCAAAACAAAAACCAGAGCTTTACTCCTATATGTATTAAAAGGACAGCTGCATTGTTGAATAACAATACATTTTATGAATTTCACAGATAATATACTAATTCAAAACATAGGGTAAGATTATTAGTATCATTTGGATGGCTTTCTCTAAGCCCCAATACAGTTTCAGATTTTTCTCTGTTGTTTCTTAGGACATGTCGCTTTTTACCTTGCTGAATTTACTATGAAAATATTGTTCCAGTCTCCGAGTACTTATTCTGAGATTGCTTTGTTCCACTAACACCACCACTAAACCAAAGAAAAAGGCTGTCTCTCATGCTGCCTCAGGGATACACACCAGCTTATGTAACACACTTTCACCAATTTGATGGGTAAGGGGAACTGATTCTCATTTACCCCAGAGTTGCCAGCAGCATGCTGCAGACATTGGGATAAATGGTACATGGGCATGATAAATGCAAATTACACTTACTTTTCAATGAGCAGCCTGAAGAAATAGATGGGTCATATCAAGGGTTTTGTTTCAGTGCCACACAGGTTTATTCATGTCACAGAATGCACCACAGGAAAAGCAAAGCTACATACTGCTGGCAGAGACCAACATTATACCAACCTCAAAAGTGTTCACTAGACCCTGTATACAGTACCATGTATGACATTATAAATTTATACTAGAGAAATAGATTGAAGCTGGTGTAGTTAGAGAGACCCACTTACTGGGGGAGGCACACTGCAAACTGGAAGGTGCTGGCCACTGAAAACCACTGAGCACCCTGGGACCTGCTGCGTGCTGCAGGCTGGAATGTGCTGGCCAGTGCAAAGTGGTATCCCATGAGGAGCCACAGTTGTCACTGTGTATGAAACAGGAACTGTGCCCTGATGGATCTGCAGCAAAAGGAAAAGAAAATGTATTTAATAACTTATTGCAAAGCCTTAACACTGTTGTACAGCACAGTAAGGTAACAAGCTTTTAATTACAGATCAGAAAAATAATATATTCACAAAGAAAGTATAAAAGGAGGTACACGATTGTAATTTCTGTTCATTAAAATGTTTTCATCAATGGAATATTTATTGATCAGAATTTCTGGGTAAGAGGGACCTCTCAGCTTAACATGTTAAAACGTCAGTGGCACTGTTCAGCCAGACTCGTCATGAACTTACAGCATAAAGCAAAACCATTATCTGATCACTAGCAGAAGTGTTAAAAATGTAAGTTTATTAGACTGCTAGAATGGCATTGGCTTCCATCCTTTCACTTGGCCATGACACCAGTGCTATGCAACTGCACTGAATGCAAACCAGCTTTTAAGCACAGATGTTACAGCTGCGTTCTGTGCACATGCAGCTTCCAATGCAGACATCCACGTAGCCAGGTCTATTCATGGCTATGTAGCAACTAGTGTACTTTTGCTGTGGCCTGTTTATTTAGTAAACAACAACAAAGGTTACCTCAACAGGATCACAGAATCATTTAGGCTAAAATACCCCTAAGTTTATCAAGTCCAACCATTAATCCAGTACTGCCACCCCTAAATCACATCTGTCATTGCCACACCTATGTGTCTTTTGAATACCTGCAGGCATGGTAACTCCACCACTTCCCTGGGCAGCCAGTTGCAATGCCTGACAATCCTTTCCATAATTTTTCCTAATATCCAATCTAAACTACGCTTGTGCAATTTCTTGTTCTGTCACTTGCTACTTGGGAAACCAATGTCCACCAGGTTATAACCTCCCTTCAGGTAGTGTTAGAGAATGGTAAGGTCCTCCCAGAGCCTCCTTTTCTCCAGGCTAAGCACACCCAGCTCCCTCAGCTGCTCCTCATGTGATTTGTGCTCCAGACCAAACCAGTTCCATTGCTCTTCCAAGAACATACTCCACCAACGCAATGTCCTTGTAGTGAGAGGCCCAAAACTTCTTTTACAGGTCCTCAGTTGCATAATTCTATACAAAGTGCTGTCACAGAGAGGAATTATTTACTGTCTGGACCAACTAAGTATAGAATTTTTTCATATAATTTACGGAGGAGTTGATTACGCTTGAAGGGTTAATTTAGGTAAGCAACAAAACTATCATGAGTTCTGCTGTCATATAGACAACCAACTATAGGCAATGTGAATTCTTCCTCTAAATAATACATTTTAACTATTTAATGACTCCTAAGCTAAGGTGAGGTATTTCACATGAAACAGAATACATAATTAATAAGTATCATAGCACACCTTTATCACAGGAAACTAATTACAAAAGCAAAACAACTTCATTTCAAAGGTTTAAGACAGAGACACAGAGAAATATGCCAGTTCACGCATTGACAAATTGGTAAGTACGAATTGTTAAGTATCAATCTTCCTCACTAAAAGTGTGAACTTTTTGGGTTTTTTTTTTTCACTGTCTGTGGCAATGCTTCGTACACATAATATGCAACAAAAACCACCACTCTATAAGAAGTCAAATAGAATTTAGTGCTCTGTGACTTCACTGTCAGCTACGAGATGAGGTAAACTATTTGGTGAGGAGAGGGATCTTCAAGATGGAGGGAAAACCCCCCAAAACCAACCACCACATCTTGAACAGCCTTCTGTGCTCTAAAAATTTTACCTGATCATGAATGTCAACCATCACTGCATTCTGCTGTGGTGGGTGAGCAGCTGGGTGCAACATACGAGGAGATACATTCGGTGGGCGAAAGGCTCGAGGCTCTTCTATTGCTTGCTGCTGTCCATAGGAGAGATGGTGATAGTTTTCATCCTGGCTAATAGAATTATGTCTAGACAAACGATCTCTCCTTGTTCTCTGACGTCGAACAGGAGGACTGGAAATGCATTAGAAAAATTAGTGGTTATATAAATGACACAAATTCTTTTTAATAACTAAAACATCAAGAAAATAAAATATCAAGGAATTTTTTAAACTGGAAAATTTTCCTGGAACAAATTTATTAGATTGGAATAAAACTTTTTTACTGACAGAACTGCTAGAATCCTTATAAATGACACTTTTTTCAGTATGGAAATACTTAACAGAGCATAGCTTAATGCTGTTAGGGAAACCAAGAGAAGAACTCCTATGCAAATATTACTGTGTTAAAAAAATGACACCTGGATTGCCACAGCAGTGCTCAAAAGTCAAGATAGCAATCTTCACGACATTCCCATGCCTTTATTCTATCTAAGTAAAAATCCTTCATTAAATGATCACAGATTTCCCAGGGTCTTTGTTTCAACCACACCACAGATGATTGCTTGCTTAGTGACAGCAAAGCAGTAAAGTAACAAATTAATTTTTCAGCTCTCACATGTTCACTACGTAACTGAGTGCATTCTAAGATCCTTTCCAGAAGATCCTAGGGAATTATGATTGTGGTAGTTTCTTTTTCAGAGTGGAGAACATCTGTAGATAAATTTAGACCAGAGCATATACCTCTTTTGAGCAACTGATCTACAGGTGTAGGATTTGATTATGTATTCTTATATAATGGTGTGTATGTTCTGAGCAAAGCTGCAAAGACCTTGAGTCAGAACTTCTAGAAATCAGAGACCAGTGGTTCAGGTTCAGCACTCAGAAAATGGTGCACACAAATGTGATAAACTTACTATGAGAAGTCTTGAACAAGTCACTTCTCATTTATTTGGAAGGGGAAAGCACTGAAAGCACAAAATGATCTTGCAGTACTTTTAGCACATGCCTTCCAATCTCCACAACATGCTCAAGTTACAGGTCCCAGAAGCAACAGCAAATTAAAGCTACACAGGGTGAAACCGTTTCCCATTTATTGAAACAGGCTAAAGGACCCAAACTGCAGAGAAGAGACAAAAAGGATCTGTGATCATTATTAGAACATGTCGTCTCCAACACTGCATGGAACAGAACTTTTGCTATTACCAAATAAAAATTAAATAAACCACCAAGCTGTTGGCAAATCCTAGATAATTCTCAGGTTGAGTCTAACTTTTGTGCTGCATGGAACAGACATACTCAGGGGAAGTGAGACCACATCACCAGCTACCCAGATCCTACTGTGAGCACATGATACACTGTCTCAAGCCACTATTTGTCGACCCTACCTCACCAGAGACTTAATTACTTCATTGCCTCTCTTAGAACTGAAACAAATTCTCAGCAGGTGAGACAGAAGGCATAAGGCCAGGCTGTATGTAACACAGCAAAGAAAAACCCAAAAATTTAAAATTGCATAACCACCTTAATTTTTATAAACCACATAGCAGAACATACAAGCTGTGTTTTCTTCTAACCACTGAGAACCTAAATTTAAGTTCTTACTAATATATTTTATCTTAAATCCAGTCTTCTTTCCTGAAGTTTTTGTTGCACTCTGTATTGCTTTATTACCAATATGATATAACTTAGACATTCTCCTTAGGTAAAATTAGCATATGTAACTTTTAAGCACAGAACTAGTAATGCAGATGTTTTACTGTTTGGAGTACTCAGGTTGTTTTAAATTTTCTATTTCCTGCAATGAAAAAGAAATGGTCTGAACATTTTAACGTAAAAATGCCTATGTGAGGATTTTTCTTTGGAAAAGCTCCAAAAATATAGAAAAGTTACAAAAGACAGCACCAGTGCTTCAGAACAGAAATTATCTTAATTGCCACCAGTACTTCAACAAGGTGGCTTCTTAGACAAGGTTGCTCTCATAAAACTAGTCTTGCCTCTGTCTTGGTTAAAAGGCCTGGTTTTAGTTTTCTATGAACCCAGAATTATGGAAAAAGCCAACAAGGACTGGCAAAACTTCTGGAATATCTTTTTAAATGAAAGAAGAAGTATCATTCTCTGGCAAAAAGCAAAGCTAGATTTTTTTTCCTGTGCAGAATTGTAAACATACTATCCTTTCAGTCAGCAAAATTCAGAGCATCTGGATACATAATCAGTTTCTGAATTATTGGAAATTACTTCAGAATAATTGGCAAGACATGGGTCTAAACTATTATTGAACTTCAGTAAAGAACTTGTGCTTAAAGACTTCAAAAACAGCCACAAAAAAATCCTCTGTTACTACATGCACAGTATAAACATGGTAAATGCCAGGTTAAAACAAAGAGACAGGATGAAAGTGGTGAAAAAATTGCAGGAATTCCTACCCTCAGGTAAGAACAGCCATCAAAAGGTATCCATAACTGCAGAGTTAGTATGTGCAGATCTTAGTATTTCTAACAAGGGTGATTTCTTTGCAGTAAGACATTCTTGAATCCCTTTAGTTCAGAATTACATTCAAGACAAGGAGGAAAGGAAGCACAGATGAAAGGTAAGGCACAGCAATGGTACAGATCCCCCCATTTCACAATGACTGATAAAGATAAATTGGAATGGACTTCTGTTTCACACAGGCATGCATCATGCTTTTACATTCATAAATTATCTGTGCAATATAAAAGTATCTAGACAAAACTAACCTTTCTGCAAATTCACACCAGAAGGCTATCTTTTTCAATGCACTATTTATTTGCTTACAATGAATCAGAATAAAAAAACCACAACAAATTAGGGCACTCTTGTTTTAGGCACAGTACAAAATTACTGATACCAAGAGGTAAGGTCCAAATAGTGAGGCAGGTAATGAAAAAAAAAAAAATCAAAAAAAAATTCCAGGTAATAAAAAATGCCAAGACAAACTGTCCTGACCAACAGGAGTCAACTGGTAGGATGAAAGAGTTAATGCTGATGACACTGGGGCAGCAATGCCCACACTAGACACACTTCAAAGGTATTGCCTGCACTTGCCCTAGCTTGTTTCCTTGAGTTCAATGACTATTTGCAGCTGGAGTGCACCTTTCATCTTATCTTAACCTGCAAACGTGGTGAACTCTGAAACCATCCTGCAATGAGAAGAGAAAACAAAGCCGGGAAAACAAAAAATTTGCTTCAAAGCATAGGCATAACCTCACTTAAAGCATTAATAACAGATTCACTTATAATTATCTTAAGGAATCAAGCTTTTGATCCATGAGAATGGCTATTAGTTCTGGTATGACTCCAGAGCACTCTTAAGACTCAGAAAGACTCCTGCAAAACAAGAAGCATGTGTGTATTGTTCCCCCTAAAAATCCTGGTCCCCCAATGGGTTAAAAAATGCTTCAACTCAAACGAAGGGAAACAAAGTACTGACACATTCAAATGTCTCTGATTTGCATTAGAAAGACTTGTGTTATTACCCAGGAGCAGGTGAGCTGGCCATAGAAAGAGTAATGTTTGTGTCCATAAAGCTGCAGCCAACCTAACAGCTCCTGCCAAACTGAAGATGACTTTCTAACAGAATGTCTCCCTGTTTACAAATGCTTTACTTGCAAAAGCCACAGGCTACTACCTCGGTAGCACTTGACTGCAACTGAATATCAAGACGCTTGTCCCATGCACATTCACCCCTTACACATTTCCATTTTTATCCTCCATCCCAAAGTATACCCAAACTGTCTAGATTCTGCTATCTAGCATTTAGCTTGTTAAGCATGCTGTTTAACTTTGCAGACGTTAATGCACATTGCAAAGAAATTTGTGTAAATTGACTGGACAACAAACAAAAAAGACTGAATGCACATACTCCAGGCATCTCAGTTCAAACCATTTGAGGTCAAGATCATTTTGTGGGACAAATACCCCTAACAGAGCATCCTTGTACCAAACTACATGAAAGGTATGATCTTTTGTCTTCACAACAACCCTTTTAAATTCATAATTTAACCTTTTTCCTAAATCTGACAATCTGCACTGAGAGCTGCGTATTTACTGACTGAAAGCTTTCAAATTCATTAAGCTGAAGCAAAGATATAAAATTAGCATGCTCTAAACTCTCTTGCTTCAAAACTACTGGCTGATCACTGTTGACAAATTTGATTTGTGGGATCTGAAGAAAACATATACCTTAAGCCTAAAATTCTTATTAATGAAAAAGGACAGACACTTTCTTTTATTTTTAGTACAAACCAAGCTAAAACATTTCATAGAATCAAACAGAGACAGTGTGTTTTAACTTGCATATGATGACTCAGTATATTTGAGGCAGAATGTGAGGCAACGAAAGCTTCTGTTCTGGGTAATTAGTATAACTAGAACAGCAAAAAATCTGTTGGTTTATGTTTTGCTAGAGTATCATCCATCCAGGCCCCAGTTCCAACATCTCTCTTCCATGACCACTGGAACTTACTCCAAAATCTCTGCTTTGAGAGAAGTTAATGAACCACAAGGTAAAACCAACATGAAAATCTAATTACTGTTTACAGGTGAATCACCCACCTCAGCAAATGTTTGACACTATGCTAACCTCCTCATCTCCCTAGCTGGTATCACTCATCTTTATTTTGATTGGTTTTAAGTATAAAAATAATTGTGACTGTAATGAAAATCATGGTATTACATGAGCAACACTTAACACTTTTTAAAGTACCCTGATAAGAGATTTTTCCTTGAGCTTTTTTACATGCTTTTTGCCTCAGTGCAGAGTAATAAAGAATTAGGTTCAGAATAAAACATGGAGCACTCTTTTCCTCAAGCTGACTTTTCACACAAATTACAAGATGATGCACAAGCCTGAATTACTTCCAGTAACTTTTTAGTCACAACTACATTATCTTACTGCTCAAAGGAAATGTTAACATGTTTACCATGTGCAATCTAGTCAGTGCTGCCCAAAACATACCTTCCTTGATCTAAAATCAGAAAGAATAAAAACTTGTTTCCCAAGCTACACTTGGGGCTTGCTTACCTCCTCCTGTTTCGTGCAGGTGTGTTGCATCGTTCCCCTGAGAAGTGGTGTTGGCTGGGTCGGGTCAAAGGAGGCTGCCTATTTGATGTCATCTCCCATGGTCGCATTGGTGGTGACGGGGCTGGTGATGCTGCTGTGTAGTCAAAGACTGAATGGGAAAGGCGTTGTCGCTTGGGACTAGGACTGTCTTCGCTCTACACCAGTGCAAAGAAAACCAAAACAAAACAGAAACAAAACCCACCTCCAAATGAGTGAATTAAAATCCATACTTCAGCACTGCTTTGCACCTAGCGTTTAGGAGTGACTCATTAAAGACTGAAAACTTAAACAACATGAAATTTAGCACCTGCAAGTATTCACCTTTATATTGTGGTTATAAACACAGATTTTTAATGGTTCCCTAACCCCTGGAAGCATTATTATTTAAATTATACTTTAGCAGCACTAAAATACAAAAACTCCAACATCCATGCAAAATTAAAACTCTATCCAAAAAGAGTAACATGAAGAAAATAAGGCATCATCTATTTTACATTACTCCTGCCTTAGCACTTACAGGCTACTGAAGCATGGGAAGATGTATAAACACAGTCTTCACAGCAGTGGAACCTGTACTAGTCAGGAGGCAGCTGCCACAAAGAGCTTGCTCTCTGCATTGCACCCCCTTCCTATCAGGTTTGTACTTGGCTAATCAGACACAGAGATGCTTTATCCTTCTAATTATTCAGGTAATTGTAACCATTCATACACATAACCTGAAAAAAAAAATCATCAATCTCTGGTTAAGTTTGTCTACTTCATTAAAATTCCACAAGGCCAACAAAGAGCCTGAAGTTTCCAGTGCCAGTGATGTGAAGGCTATTCATGTCCAAGCAATGTTTTCCCAGTTGGCTATGAGTACAACTACTTTTCACTGTGTGTCCAGTGCTATCAAACAATTTAATACAGCTGCCGTTCTTCTCAGAAGTTCACACCAATGCCTATGAAGCCAGCAGCAAATGCAATAAACATCCCTCCACCCCACTATTCTGTCAAAATTAAAACACGACATGTTGATAAAAGGCATGACAACCGAAAATAGAGAAAAATACACATCATACTTCAGAGATCACCAACTGAACAAAAACTGTAAGCAGATGAACTACCACTAGAACCATCCTTGAGTCCAAACACCACGTGAACTTCTATGACAGAATTCCTAGTGCAAACAAACTTGTAGTATTTAGTTGCTCTCCACCTTGTCCAGTCACTCCATTTCTCTTTCAGTCCACCACAGCACTATTTCAATTACATTTGCATGTAATTGCAGATAGCTGAAGCACAGAAAACAACCTGTCTGCAATGGCTCCGTGTTCCAGAACTGCCCACTCCCCCTCAATTGCTAGAGGTCTCACTTCAGACTTAATTGTAGACTGGACTGTGGACCTCTCCTGGCTCTTATCTTTACAGGGGCTAAAATTTTATTTTCTGAACTTAATAAAGTTGCTCCTTGGTAGGTTCCCGACATATAGTTTGTACTCCAGCCTTCTCTCCAGTACAAGGACACTCCTTTTAGGAAGTAGTAGTTTTGTCCACGTATTCAAGAGAAAAAAGGTATTTTCCATCTCTTTGACTTGTGGCCATTTTTTACAAAATTTTGGAGCTTTTCAGTCTCTTGTTTTCAAATATTTTAACATAGATTGTCCCTACTGTATCTTCTCTAAAACAGTCAGCTTCCTTAGGGAACCAACCTAATAATGAATGCATCTGTTTGTTGCTCCATCTCTTTTGAACTCCTCAACCAACTGCACTTTAACTTTTTAGAGAAAAACAGATCAAAAGGCAAGTATGCACCTGATGGTTCATGACAGTAGATGTCCAGGTAAAGGGTGACTGTTCCAGAAGGCTGCTTGCCCTGAGAAGCTCAACGCCAAAAAAACTGGAAGAGATAGCCAGTAAGTGCCTTGAGAGCACAGCTTCTGTGAAAACATGTATTTTATTAGATTTCAGAGAACACTGCCAAAGGACAAATCTTAAAGGAACTATACTACAAGAGTCAGAGAAGGATGATTTGTGGCCCAGCTTTTTACACCATGATGACTAAGCCCATTCAAAGAGAAAGACTAGAAAAATGCTGGTAAATTAGGTGTGCTAGGATTTTGTGAGTGCGAAAGAAAAGGTCAAAAGGAGGAAGAAAAGACTGGATTTAGTGAAGCTAAAGGCAGAGGACAAAACCTTGAAAGAATACAATAACCACTCCTGTCCTAATACAATCTACACATGCCTTTGGCTGGGGATCTCCCGCTGCTACTGCCCTAATTTAAATGTGACACCCTTCCCAAGCATTAACACTAATATACCCTGCCCCATCGAAAGCAGTCTTTTTTCTTTTTTTTTTCTTTTCACTTTGGAAAAAAGGAGTTCTTCTATTGTTGTTATTATTATTATGAGTATTATTAATATTATTATTCTTTTCCTTTTGCATCAGGAGTGCATCACTTCAAAGACTGTGAAGATGCAAACTGCTAAGTAGTTTGCCTTCATCATTACTCCAGATTACTGTCACAGCTATTTCAAACTCCTTAAGTGCTAACTGCCCTCTGCAGTTAGCAGCAGTAATTTTACTCAAAGTTGTTTCCCATTAGAAAGAAAATAAAGGTAAATTTTTTTTTGGAACTACATGTACAGAGATTTTAAATGCAATTGTGTCTTCTTCTGAACTGAAAAAGAAGTAACCTAAAGCTAAGTTCAACTTATTTGCAAACAGATGTTATAAAAAACCCAAATACAAACCTAATTAATTGGAGATGTGGTGTTATCTTAGTTTTTATTAAGAAACCAATTATCGTGTGGTAATTGTATCAAGAGAATACTAGCATGCAGGAAAGTACAAGGAGCTAGTAAGAGACACATATCCCATATAATTTTGTTTTAATGTTATTTTCAATCAGCATGTAGAATAACTATATCTTGACAGTATGTTTTTGCAGTCTACATTATTACTGGTCAGTAAGTTCAGTAGTTTATTTATGGAATATGATACTTTACACAATGACAGGAGCTCTCAAAATCCCAAATCACTCTTACTGTTTCTTGTTAGTATTCAAAATATTTTCTGGGACTATTGCCACTTTTCTCAGCCATACACCATGTGTTTTTCTCATGTCCAACAGGCAACAAGAACAGACTGGATGGCAGTTATCAGGAACACTCTACCTAGCTTTTAAACAAGATAAACTCGCTGCCTGTCTTTAAAAAACACTGAACCAAAAGAGCACGATGAACAGATTACTTCGTATTTAAAGGAAGTAGTATCAGGACAAAGTCATCAGATTGTTACTAGTAAAAGAAGCAGTGTATGTCAGGCTACTAAAACCTGCAATTTCACCCCTGAAAGTCAGCATTTCACTGACACTCCTAAAAGTTATCATTTCACTGACATACATAGTACCATTTTGTCTAATTCTTATCTGTATACCCCATCAACTCTCCTAAGTGTAAGGGTAATCAAGGTGAATAAGAAGTATGCCTATTTGTAAAACACCCTTTAGAAGTGTTTGTTCTATTTCCATATATGTTTCTTGTGGTAATGTTTTATTTGAAGGCTTTTTCAATTTTTTGGGAAAAAGTAGGTATTTTCACCAGGACAACACCCTTTGAGGTGTGTCTTTTTCACTGTCCTTTCCAGTAAAATTATAAATACTGCATCTACACTCTGATTATTAATCATCACAGAAGGGAATTATTATCAAAGCAATTCCTGCAAATATCTGAAAATCAGTTTCCTCTCCAAATCCCTATATATTTCCACTTAATGATCCTACGAAACACAAAAAACTTCTCCATACCCTCCATCTCAAATTCAGAGAATAAACTACATCTATCCTGCAGCCCACAAAATACCTATATTTTAAAAGTAAACTAGTACTTCAAAATTATTCTCATGCATAGCCCACAGAAGGCTTTACACAAGGACAATCTGATGGGTATATCCCAGAAAACCCTACCAGGCTGAGAAGAAATAAATGAGCTGCATGTTTCCTCTTCACAAATACATACTGAAAAGGAAATTATTTTTCCCCACGATACAAGTTGGTAAACATCAACATTTCTAAGCATTTTCAAATTTAACTATAGGCATCTAATGGGCTAGTGCACTCAGTACTCTGCATATCCCATCTGCTCCAACAATTCTAACAACTGTAATTTGAATTACATTTCAACATTTCTGTTAAGGTCTGCTTGTACCTACAGTAACAGTATGTTCTTGGGCTGAACAGTTACATCCAAATGAACTGTAAGTACATTTTTTGGCCTCAGCTGAGTAAGCTCTGGAAGAACTGTACCCCACAGCCCTAAAACCAAGACAAGGGAAATCACTCATGCAATGGGATGGAGCCATTGCAGGCCAGATGGCTTTGTAAACATTACTGCCTTCTTCCATCTCTTCCACAGAAAGCAGCAGCAGCAGTTTAACTTAGGTGCGGCATTACAAGGTAGTCCCCTGTAGCTGGCACTATAGATACAAAATCTGCAGGAAGCCAACAAAGTAATTCAGATAGCTACAGCCCCTCCAGCTCCAGCCACCAAGAGACTCACCCACTTCCACCACAGGCACTGCCAACCTGTTGATGCAAACATCTCCAGCCAGTGAGAATACAGTTGCTGGCCTAGTTTCTACTCAAGCTGGTCTCAGCTAGCCCCTGCAGCACTCACACACATGGTACAGAAAGTGACATTACATGGAGAGACAGTTAAGAAAAGATCTAATAAAACAGGAGAGACTGCAGGGATCAGGCACAGAGCTCGGCCAGAAAAGCATACTACAGTTTACCTGTATCAGCCCTTTTTCTGTCTGGCCCTGTTTTGTCCCTTTCCCAACTCTCCTCCCTTGCAAATCACCTTCTCAGATGGCATAGTCTCACTGACCTGCCCCAACATCCTGGACCCTCAGGTTTGCATCCTTATCAGTAACAGAATTCTTGTTCACGTGCATTTTTCTGACAGCTCATCAGTTAGTGTGAGAGACAAGGTTTTGTTTCTTGTCCCTGTTTCCATGAAGTTTGCTTGGCAGGTTTGTGTCTCTCGCCATATCTTGTTTATGGTTTCCTCCTTTCCCTTATAATGCCATTTGGTGAGGTCTACAATCAAATAATCTCCCTGAAATAAACATTCTTAAATTCCAAACACCCTCTTCAATCAGTGACGGATCAGGGTTTTCTGCCTCCCTCATTTTTTGGTTAAACAGATTTGTACCTCAAAATGTTCCTATCTACTACAGCTTTTTATTCCTTGATCAGACACAACTTACATAAGCTGATGGTCTCTCCTTCCACATTCCTTTACAGATCACAAAATCCTTTCACAAACAACATGGAGTACAATTGTAACCACTCTGTCAACTCAGGAAGAGTGAAATGAAGACTGATTATTAAAACAGTAAAAGCTAAGAAGAATATGGGAATAAACAACAGCCCTTTACCCTTGTCCTAAACAAGAATATTTAATGAAAATGCAAAGGTTTGGTGTAGCGGATGAGAAGAATTTGTTATGGTAAGTTTGTCTCTCCCATCCTGTTGGAAATGGAAAAATGGAAAATTCCACAGATGCTGAAGGGTTCAATCTGCAGCCTTGGAAAGAGCTTAGGTTAATGCAGTGATGAAGGTACGCAGACATTGGGTAGAGAAATTATTAACTTATGTTTCTATAGTTATAAGTAAGAATGTCTTGAGTAAGTAAGAAATTATATTAGGTAAAACAGTGTGAGGTTTGAGCTGTAATAGTGTGACTTATAGAATAGGTTAGAGATCTAGAAACTGCAACAGAGGTGTGTATGAGTACATGACCTGTCAGCTTACTGGCTAAGAGACAGATGCAGTGCAGCATTAAGCAAAGGTGATAGGTTAATAAATGAAAACATGTCAACTGCCTATTGGGCTAAAATGTTATATATTACTGTGCAAAGAAGAAACTCTTGTCTTCCTTGAGCTATTGCTGACTTGTTGCTCCTCTAAATCTCACATCTTGACATCTGGCTACTTGAGCAATAAATCATGTCAAAGAAAGGTGGTCCCATCCCTCATTCTCCATCTCGACACCATCCAGGTATGTAAAGTCCAAAGGACATTCTATCTTTTTGTCATACACCCACCTGTAAGTACTTTAGCACCAGTAACATGAAAGGCCAGCTGCAGATCTTGGAATCAAGAAAGCAGCACCTGCACTAATCAGACAGTTCCCTAATGAGCAAAACAGGACACTACATATACATCGTATGTTAATAAGCACAGGTTGTATCATCCTTCCCTGTTGTGCTTTCCTTTGAGCTTCACTCCCAATCAGGTTCCCATTTGATCAGCACTGGTGTCCCAAGGCTCCCACAGTATTAACTCTCTGCATTCATGAAAGCCAAAGCTTTCTCACTGTCCTGCCTTATTGCTGAGGGATCCATATCTATATTTTGTGTAATATGGAGGAAAAAAAATAAAAAACAGGACAATGAAAGTGGCTTCATATTAACTTGTAAGCTGACAGATGAAAAGCTGTTGGGGAACCAACAGTTTGACATTTCCTTTAAATATATTCTTAAAATTCTAGCTTTAAATAAAACCAGAAAGAAGCTACTATAAGAAGCATCTATGGAGCAGTAAATTAAAAGCCCTGTGTCACAAGTGGTAAAAAGTACCAGATTTTATGAACAAGTGGGTTACTTTCAAGCCAAATTGGTGTGCTTTTTTCAAGACAAAATAAACAAGGATTATCCAGCTGGACTCCAAGCTGCATGACAAAGGATCTGTCCATGTATAAAGATTTGTCAGCAGAATCATACTGTAATGACACACATCTTTCACTGGCAAAAGCTCTTTAGAGGAACTTCACCTGACAAAATAAACACCAGAAATAAGGATCTTTTGCTAGTATAATTGGATTTGCCCAAAGAATTTTGCTGGCTTAGCTGCATTGGCCAGCACAGCGGTATTTTTCATCCTGCCAACTGTGCGCCAGTCCAACTACAGCATATTACACTACTTTTGAAGCCCTTTCCTTGCAAAAGAAGCAAAGTACAACTCAAATAGGACTTCTGGGTACTTGAAGATGTACCCTTGAAACACAATGTATCCCTGTGAGTACCTACAGTTCCCCACTGAACACCAGATACATCTGAGTATTCAAAAACGAAGATCATTTATTTCTGCAATTCAGAACTTTTTTTCTTAGTTTTTTTTCCTCTTAATTCTCACACTGTCAAGAATTAAGAAAATGAATCTGTAACTAGTTCTTGG